TGTGTGCCAGCAAATCTGAATATGCACTGTGACAGTCTGAGCGGTCACCTAAAAGCAAATCTAACATACCCAGTCCAGTCAGAGTTTTATCTCTCCTTAAGTCTTAAGCATATATTAGATAAAAGAGTCACCTTTTAAAAAACAAGAAAATGATTGAAGGAAACAGAGTTCCAAGTATAAAAAAATGCCTCAGGAAGAAAATTAACCCACACATTCTTTACACTTACTGGCAGAGCTCTGCTACACTATCAAATGTGTAATAGTTACTAGTTTCTCACTGGCCCACCCTATTTGGTCTTCAAGTTGTCACAATGACAGTAGTCATTTTCTATAGTTTCAGGGGAAGAAAATCCACCCCTAACAGCTGCCTGATGAATTTTTAAGAACAGGTATCTAAATGACCTCACTGCATGTGTGGAAACCTTGCAAAAGACATTTGTAAGCCTTCAAGAGAGTGTTTTTATTCAAATACCTGTATGACCTGTTTGTCAGTTCCTATGTTTTAATACGTCTATTTCCATTTTCCTTTACAGATGAAAGCAGAGACTTTTAACCAGCTCTAGAGTACCAAGAAAATATAATAAAACCAGATTGAGCAGATAAGTGCCACTATACGAGGAATTTACTAAACCCTAGAACAAAGTAATGCTAAAGTCTTCCTTGCCTTACTTTCTTAAAAAAATGCCAATAAAAACACACTCTTGCATGTTCACATGACCAGACAAGCCAGTTCACAGCCGACTTCTTGGAGATCAAAGCAACTAAACAGACTTTCACCACACGTAAAATAGTACCACCTGCCTTGACCCTTTTCTTCCCTGAGGAAGGAAGCTCTCTTCAAAAGATGAGAACCTCTCTCCCTTAATTCAGAGTCCAACTTTAGCAGCTTCACTGCTGCTTCAACCCCAAGCAAGCAGGTCATAGCTACTTCAATCCCAAGCTTTACACAGGAAAAAACCCAGTTTCAAGCAGGTAAATCACCAGACCATTCAGACCGTATGAACATAGGATTAAACAGGTAGTTACCTTTTCTACAGACACATAGCCTATTTTGCATGCAGTTACAATTCATAGCATATGAATTAAAATTAAATAAATAAATAAATAAATAAATAATTTCTGAGTATACATCCTCTGGGTTTAATGGGTCTCCATCAGTGCCACTGATGGCCAGTCCCACTTTATGAAGTCAGCGGGCTAAACACACTGCATAATACACCTTCACTGCTTAGGTACAACCAACTAACCCACAGCAACTTCACTGATGATAAACTCACCTCATCATCACTGTCTGATGTCTCAGAGTCTGAAGATGCTGTAGGTTTGCTCACAGGTGGCTCCTTTTCTTCAGAGTCACTACGCTTCCGTTTGGCCAACGACAAGAGCTCCTGGTGTGGAAAACCACACTTAGTTTAAAACATTGCAATTAGTTTTACCAATCCAGGTCAGAACATATGCACCTTCTCTGTGATACCTGAGCACATCCCAGCTACAGGATTATCCCCACTGACAAAGGGACAAAGTCTACTTGTGTTTCACAAACATATATATATATATATACACACAAACACAATTTTAACACTACTGGATGCTACAAAACGATTTTGAGGATAACAAGTTGTAATAAGTAAATACTGTAATATACTACCATAATTAATCTCTTAGTATAAATGACATTGAGGGTGGTGAGGCACTGGCATAGGCTGCCCAAAGAAGTAGTAAATACACCATCCCTGGTAGTGTTGAAAACCACGCTGGACAGAGCTTTAGGCGACATGGTCCAGTGTGAGTTGCCATGGTTTAAAGCCTAACTATTTGGCTCGCTGGGAAGGCGGTCTGGAATAAGTGGGAAAAGTCTCTTGTCTTGCCCCACCTTGGGGAAGGAAGAAGGGGCGGAGTGAGCAAGTGTCTGCATGGTTCTGAGTTACCAGCTGTGCTTAAAATACGTCAGGAGTCCTCATCCATGGTGGGGGGGTTGAAACCAGATGATCTTAAGGTCCTTCACAACCCTAACTATTCTGATTCTATGACATCATAAGACAGATTACTTTCAGAACCATGTCCAGATCTGTTTTATTTGGATTGGATAATAATTCAAAAATGCCCAAACTACAGTTGTACTGCATTAACTCAAAAAGCCACATCCCACTAGAGAGCAGCTCCTTCTGCTAAATAAGAGATGTTTGCAATTAAAATACTTTAAAAGGGAAATCACCACAATGGCATGGCTGATCATATTTGTCAGACTGTTCAAATCCTTTTCACTGTCCCTACATACCACAGAATGCACTTAAAGCCTTGGATAGACACAGAGCAGGCATCAAGCTCAAACTCTGTGAGACTAAGTAGAGCTGTTCTCTTCTAAAGGAAGCACTTTCAAAGGGAACACGCACCAGTGCAAAGAACTAAAGGGCTCTCAAATAATCTCATAATCTGCTGTTCATACCTTGTTCAGATGACAGAAGCAGCAGTATAAAACAACCATTTCTGAAGCTGCATTACTGTCTTTGTAGTCCATGACATAATTTATTCTTAAAAACATTGCTCTGGGGCTGAACCTTAGCTGTGCATAGAAATACAGTCACACCAACTTCTGCAGGGTTGGGAAGTCAACACTAGATCTGTTTGCACTAGTTTCACAGTGGAAGATTATCTCCAAACAGATTATAGTTTAGTACCTCAAATAAGAACATAAACACTGCAGAAACTCATGGCCTAGGCCACTCAGCAACAAAGTGCTTCCATTAGGGTTGGCATTTTACAAGCCTTTCTCTGAAGAAGGCATGCAATATCAGAGCACATCTGTAAAACTAGCTACTGTTCAGGAAGCTCCTGATGTTTTCTATAAACTTTTCCAGAAATTCTCTCACAACTGTCTCTAGGTAGTCCTTCAACCCAGATTATCTTCTCCCTGGATGGTATTTTAGCATATTTACCACGACTTTTATTTCAAGCAATCTTCCTTCTTTCTAGCCCTGTTCTGTTTACTGAGATACTATATTAGAAAGGCTCCCACGGATTCAAAAAGCCTAGATCTCTGAGGGAAGCTGTCAAACATTTAACCTACAGGGGCCTCACTCATATACTCTCATCTTTCAACTATACCACAAAATCATTGCTTCCCTTCTACCTAATCTTCACTCTTGCACCTAAGTATCCCTGCTGTTAGAGTTATTACATACAGCTCAGCAGAGGAGGAAGAACCTCAGGTACTTGGGTACAACTGCAGATGCATGCTTCCAGTGAAGGATGGCACAGAAGCAGAACTATGAGTTTATTCCTGCCACCATCACTCTGATTGCCTGATCTACACTAGAGCTAGTCCAACTCTTCTATTTTCAAGCTCTGAAGAAACTATCAAACTAATATACTAGTGGTGAGATGTTGGCAGCTCTGAAGACTCTAGAGGCATGCAAGATCAACATCGGGGCACGCTCTGCTCCAGTTTATTTGTCTGACAGAGCCTCTACTTTGACTTTTCTGCAGCTTCGAGCTGCAAAACTATTTTTAAGTGTTTGGGAAGGCTTTTTTATTGCAACCTAGCAACGGTTTCTATATTGAAAACCCTGAAGGTCCAGCACATAAATTACATCTGGCATGTAGGCTTCAGCATATTTAATCAGCCGAACTTCTTGGAACAAGCACTGTCAATACAGGCTGTAACACAATTCACCTATAATGTCTTTATTTACCATTTGAATCACATCATCAACACCTCATACACAGAGAGATGAGTCTTTGAAAGTAGCTCCCTCCAAAGAGGAAGACATCCCCTTTGAAGCCCTGTAACGGTTAACCTTCAGAATAGGCTGCCCATAGAAATGGTAAATGCTCTATCCCTGGCCAGGTTGGACAAAGCCTTGGGCAACATGGTCTAGTGTGAGGCAGGTTGGAACTGGATGATCTTAATGTCCCTTCCAACACTAACCATTCTATGATTCTATGAACTGACACCAGAAGTAGCACTTCAATCCGAGATGCCTTTATGATAAGTAAGTACTTCTCCTTGTAACATGTGATGGTATATACATTATGTGATTGTATATGCAGGCTCACAACTCTGTGCAGTTTGCCACCAATAGAGCTCAGGTTCCAAGACTGAGGGAGGGAGCACTGAACACGCATTAACCACCCCCCCGGGCACACGCCTGCCCCAAGGGGCTCACCGGGACGCAGGGACCTGATATGACACGCTGCTCTCCCGCCGCGCGAAAGCAGCACTGAAAAGTTGCCCAGCCCTTTGGGCCTCTTCCCCCACTACCCGAGGGGTGACGGCAGCCGGGCCTCGCTTCCCCCCTTCTTCGGGCCTGAACCGCTCCAGAGCATCCCCCCCCTCCGTCCCGCCCTCCTGCAAGCACCGGGCCTAGCTACGAAGAGACACCCCTCCCCCCGAAACCCGCCAGGGATCCGGCGGAGGAGAACGGGCCTCTTTCCCGCGGGGTCCCTCATGGGGCTGAGGAGAAGGACGGCTGCTCTCGACCCCTGGGCGGGAGCGAGGGAACGAGGGACGGATGGTGGCACCAAGCCCTGCCTGGGCCCGCAGATCTCAGGCCCCGCGTTCGGGCCGGGCCTGCCCCGCGCACCTGATCTAGGTTCTCCTCGCTACCGCTATCCTCAGTATCGGAGTCGATAAGGACGCGGCCTTTCCGCTTCTTCACCATGGCGGAGCCGATTGTTCCGCCTCACTACCTCCCACCCTCCCCGCCCTCGGCGGCAGCGGCGGCGCGGCGGCGCTGGCACCGGCCCGGCCTGCCCCGCGCCGCCCGCCCGCCCGCGACACAAAGGGCACCACGCATGCGCACGTCGCCGGGGCGGGAACAAGGGCGGGGCTGCCGCCTTGTGAGGGGAGAGGGGCGGGGAGGGGGTACAGACCTCTGCTGTCGCTTGATCCGTGTCCTTTCCGCCTCAGGGTGGGTTTGCCACGCTGCGAGCACTTTAATAACCTACACCGAGCAGCGACGGCTCCGAAGGAATACTTCTCCTCCGCTGTCGGGCTGGGAAGTTCGGTGTCTACAGCCGCCGGCGGAACTTGAGCGGTGTGGTAGGTGTTGCCCCGCCGGGCCCGGAAGCGGTGTGACCCGTTATTACCTCAGCGCTGGGGAGTCGGTTGCGGAGCGGGGTTCGAGGTGGTTCCGTTTGTGGTGAGGCCGTTATTGCTTATTGCCGTGTGTTGGCCTTGCCTCGGCTCTTCGGGTGTCGCGGGGGCGGGCGGGATCTGAGCCCGGTGCTCAGGCTACCGGGGGGTGCTGTGAGGGGTGAGAGAGGTCGTCGTTGGAAGCTGGGGTTTGGAACTGCTGGGTGATGGATCGGTGTTGGTAGGACGTTGCATAGGGACGAAAAGCGGGCAAAAGTGTATTAAAATTTCCCATTATCGTCTTCATGGTACCCGGGGTGAGGGGAGGGGGAAGAGAGCAAGGGCGAGTCAGTGCATTTTTGCATCTTTCACAGAATCATTAGATGATCTGAAAGTCCTTTCCAACCCTAACTATTCTATGATTCTAATTATAAAATGGTTTGGGTTGGAAAGGACCTTAAGATCATCTCGTTCCAACCCCCTTGTGCTTGCAGCAACCTGGTCTAGTGGAAGATGTCCCTTCCTATGGAAGGGGATTGGAACTGGATGAGCTTTGAGGTCACTTCCAACCCAAACCAGTCTGAGATTCTGTGAATTTATTTGGTCTCTACAGGCCTCTCTGTAATCCCAAGCCAGATACATTGAGGGAGCAAAGGGCTGGATGATTTAAGGAAGGAGTATATAGGACTGCATATACTGCTGTAGGACTTTGTATGTCAAAACTTTTGTCCTCCATGACTGTCAGATGAGACTGTCATTACGGTCCAGACAGCAACAGGCTCTATCTGTCGTGAATTTGTGATTTCCTTGCAGGGGATGCTATTTTATAGCTATATAGATGGCATCTTTCAGAAACCTTCTTCTTGAGGTTATCTTTGCTGATGTTACTTCTAATACCTAAACTTAGTTATAGTAAAAGGATAAATGGAAATGCCTTTTTTCCTATTTTCATTTTTATTTGAAATATTTTACTCAGTTTTTCTTCTTTGCATGGATATGTCACAGGGAGAGGGGAACACATAGGGTGGAAATCATTAAGTAAACTAGAACTCTAAGGAAGTGTAATACTTGATGTTATTCCTTTTTTCCAGTGGCTCGTATTTCTAGTTAATATGTGTTTTAAAAATTAAACAGTTTTACAAGCATCCCGTGTGGAATTTTTAAGTCTTTCTCTTTTTCATTAAAGGTGGGGATAAACTAAGGTGGTTCTGGATACTAGTTTTGTTGTTTTCAATTTCAGTTTAAAACCTGTTAACTGCCTTACTGGAAGTGAATTCTTCAAGTGTACCGATATGGCTCTGGCTGCCGCTTTGCTGTACAGCGCTTACTTTTGTGGGAGATGCTGCAGGCACAAAGCTTTGCAGCCCTTACTTGGACCTCTTCTCAGTGATTCTATGTCAAAATCATACAGCAGCTACAGGAGGCCAGGGTCACAGCCTGAGGAAAAAAAAACTTGGCAAAATGTGGATCTCAGTTTTAAGAAGAGCATGGAAGTCTTAAAGACCCAGCTAAGCATGCTGAAGAAGGAGACTGAAGATCACTTAGCTGGACCTGGAGGGCAGTCATTAGCCCATTATATGGTGGAACAGACAAGGGTGGTGTGGGAGTTTCGGGACCAAGAAGATTTAAATAAATGGGTTATTTCGTCTGATGTAGAGATTGGAGGGAAAAGTGAAGTTTACCTCAAATTGGGTAGGAATAACCAGACTGCCCTGCTGTATGGAATCCTCAATACAGAAGTACCTCGTGACGGGGAGACAAAATACAGTGGATATTGTAGTATGAGATCTAAACCACTAGTGGTAAGTACAGCCTTGTGTTTGCATAGTTTCTGTTTTTGAATCCCAGGGCATGTCTGTGCAATCCCAGTGACAGCAACTGGGTCATTCTTTGCTGCAGTTGGAACTGATCCATTTCAAAGGTATTAAATATTTCTTCAGGGATGTAATTGCTTCTATATCCTCTGACCTGGTAGGAACTGAAACTTTGTCTTGGAATTTCTTTTCCTGTCTTAGAAAAGGAATGTTTGATTGTTTGTTTATGCACAATAGGGCACCACTCAATCAGACAGCCCTGTTTGTAGTCTCCTTGCAAATGAGGGACCTGTAATGAACTTTATATCCAAAATTGGTTTGATTAATAGATGTCTCTCTAACTTTGAAGAGTGTGTCATAAGGAAAAATTTTCTGGGGTTTAGCTCGGTATATTCATCAAACTTGGTTTAGGTGAAAGAGCTCATCTTTTTTTCTCACAGAAAGAGAATAATGCTTTGAAACATACTTTTTAAAGGTCTGGTTCCTAATGCACATCAGAAAAAGCCAGAGACAAATCTTTGATAGCCCAGAATTGGGCAAAATAGAACCAGAAATGGATGTGTTTATTATTGATACTGCTTGTTTTATTCCTTATATTTAAGCACTTTTAAGAGAAAAGGAACATTTAGACTCTGTGTGTAAATTGCTTAACTTTTTTGTCTGTGACTTGGCACAGGTACACAGGTAAAATCTTTTCTGGGCCAGAATCTTGAAGTGCAGAGATTATGAGTGATCAAAATCAATGGGCAAACGAGAGGCAGATGAACACTGGTTAAAATGGTGACATTGTGTCAGAGGAATGGAACAGCAAGTTGAATCTTGCTGTGGACTTGAGCACGAGTGACTGACTGTCACCTCCTGATTCTGAAGCAGTGGGGTGTATCAGTCCATCTTTATAATGCGGTTTAAAATCAGAGGGTAAAAACATAAATACAAAGGCTTTTCTTGATTTAAGTAAAAAGGCTCAAATCTGGCAAAACCATAAAATCAAATGGCCACAGGCCTTATATTAATGTGTTTATTATTGTTTGTATTAATAGTGATCTACTCATCCTGTTACCTATATGGTGGGTTGATAGGACAGCTGATAGGTAACTGTAGTAGTTCTGTAAAATAAAAGGGAAATCTTTGAGGTTTTGGTACTCATTTTGACTTGGTTTAAGCAATTCTGGCCAAGAATAGACCTGATCCCTGCTTTTCATGGCTCCAGATGACCTCGGTGGTAACTCTCTGAAGACTCATGGATCTGCCTATGTGCAAATCATAACATTGGGACTTTTAAGATCTTAGGGGGGGAAATAATTAGAAATGCTTGCAATTATTATGCACAGTTAATGACATAAAGTGTTGGAGAACATTAAGTGCTTCCAGTGCTTATATCAGTCTTCAGTAGGAAAAGTTATACACAGGATAAATTATCTCACTTCTTCTCTTTCCTGTTATCTCCTCTGAATAATCTAGTACTGACCACAGACAATTAAACTTAATGAACTGCGTCACTACCGATCCATCACTGTAGTGTTTGTGTACTTGCCTGGTAGGGATTTTGGCCCTAGGAAGGAAGTCTGATCTCTGATCATTACAAGATTGTGGTTTATAGTTAAAGCAGGAGTCAGCAGAGTGGTAATACTGCTATTTGTGTGCTCTGATATAGTGCTGAAGGAAATTCAGAGATCAGCAGCTGGTATGATGTAAGGGCATCCCAGTTTTCACTATGTCACAGTGGATGCTATTTGACATAATAACGAGGGCAGTGTTAAAAGCAGTAGTGCTCTGTTCTTCATAGTTTCCTTTTATTAAGGAGGAATAATTTTATTTCTTAATAATTTGTAGGGATCTTTTGCTAGGAAGAAGTATTATGACTGGTCAAACTTCAACAGTCTGTATTTACGTGTGCGTGGTGATGGCAGACCTTGGATGGTAAACATTTACACAGACCCTTACTTCTCTCACCAAAAGGAAGACCTCTACAACTACTTCATGTTCACCCGCGGTGGCCCATACTGGGAGGAAATAAAGGTGAACTAATGAGTCTTTCAAACTAACAAGACTCTCCTGGGGTCCTGGCTCCATGGAAGTGGAAGTCTTTCCGTAGTCACAGCTTGTTGGTATTGCTGTTTGTTATGTATCCTTGTGCAGCTGGCATATGCCTTTGGCTTGGGAGTTCCCCAGGCTGGGCTGTGGGAGGGTGCACCATACAAACTGTACTAAAGATTTGACCCACTTTGTGGAACAGCTGCTAGATCTGTTACTGGAGTAATGGAATCAATGCTGCTATTGAAGCTTAGCAGGTGTGCCATGAACATTCTCTGCGATAACCATGTAGTAAAAATGGACATAGGCAGGGGTAGGATTTGGACCCTGTGACACAATTTGCTAAACCCACTTCCTGGAGTCAGTCAGACTCAGTGTGGTTTGTCATTCTTGGCCTTTGAATCTGTGACGCATTTATGGGAATTTTGGCTCTTTTCTGATCAAAACTGGGGAATGTCTGTAATTTGCTGCTAGCAATGATGAGGGGGTTTGCACACCCTTATGCACTGGCACTGAGTGCTTCATAATACCATATCCAGTCATATGAGAACAGCCCACTCTTTCACAGGTGAGGAGTCAGGAGTGGCATTGCTGGCTTGCATGTCTTCCTCTCCTCATCAGCCAACCCTCTTGTTCCCTACCTGTTATCAAAGCCCCTCCTTTCTTGCTCCCACTGCATTCAAAGTGCTTTTAGGTTACTCTGAACAGCTTACCCTAGGGTACTGATGTCTCAGTATGAAGTATGCACTCTGAAATAGACAACTTGGGTACAGATGAGCTCTCAACACATGTATGTGCTAGATTTCTTCATTTCCATTTTATGTTGACGTTACTGGAAGGAGATACTCTGGATGTAAGCTTCTGTGCTGCAGCCTCTCCTTGTGTCCTCACAGAGTAACAACCCTGCATGATGACTACAAACCCAGTGGCTGCCTGTGGGTGGTCAGTGAAGGGTTTAATGTGGCCCACTGCTCCATGTACCTGCTAATGTTGGGGCCACATGTAGCATTACTTAATTTACTTAAGGCAGGCTTTTATTTTTTTCTTAAGCCTTTTGTTTTATGTATTGGTGACACTAAATTCTGTGTTTGGTTTGTTTCTGTCAGATTCCATTCTCCAAATTCTTCATCTCCAGTCGGGGAAGAGTGCAGGATGACCAGCATCCTATCTGGCTAGACAAGGCAAGTTTTCTATAGCCTTTATCTGTCTGAAATTGCATTTAAGATTATATTGTCATAATATAATTTACAAATCCTTTAATGTTTGTGAATTTGAAAACGAAGGGCCTCTTCTTACTATAAAGTACTTACCCCTGTATGCTCATCTTTGCATTTACATTATCCTACTTTGTGATAGCAGTGTCAATTTACTTCAAAGGAGGTCCAAAAATATTTTCAAAAGATCTGTATAACCAAGAAACAGCTCACTTGGCTTTTGAAAGAAAAAGATTAGTAAGATTCTTTTGAGGAATGATCAAAGTGACTGAGAAATCTCAAATGCCACTTGGCACTGGGCTGTAGAAATACTGTAAATGTGCTTCCCAGTAGAAGACTGGCATGAGATTTTATTTGAGGATGTGCCCTTGATGGTGATTAGTAAATGCATAGATTTATAGGCTCTTTTTTAGTTTTTCAGGCCTTAATACTAGTCTAAGTATTAAATAAATGTGGTGAGTATCTTTTATTTACTTTCTCCAAGTAAGTAAACTAATTCCCTGATTCATGGGAGACATTGGAAAATAATGTTTATGTCTTTTAAAATTCAGTGACCCTCCTCTATGTAATCGAGGGCAGCTTAATATCCAGTGACTACCAACAGGAAAACAGACAATGTTAGAAATATACATGGGGAGAAAATAAAAGGCCCATTACTTGAGTTGTGTTAGTTAAATGTTCTATCCCTGGTAGTGTTCAAGGCTGGGTTGGGCAGAGCCTTGAGTGACATGGTTTAGTGTGAGGTGTCCCTGCCCATGGCAGGGGGTTGGAACTAGATGATCTTGAGGTCCTTTCCAACTCAAACCTGTGATTCTATGATAATGTTGCATTTCATTCCTAATTGTGTAATGAAAGAACAAACGCTAACAAATTGAGAAAACTTTGAGAGCAAGTCAGTGATTGACAGCTTGAAACCAATCTGTTCTAAACCAGAAGTTGAGGCTGTAGGAAGAAAGTGTGGATGTGAGGAAGGTGGATCAACTAAAACTAAAAATAGGTTTTTGGAAGAAAGCTGTTATAAAAGGCCTGTGTTTAAATAAAGACACTGAAGACTTTATCAGTATTTGGAATATAGATTAATTCAAAATGTAAATGAAAACCAAGTCATATGTGGTCCCCCATATTAAAGGGACAGAACAGTGCTTGATCTAAGCATCCTCTACTTAATTTTCATTTCTTGTTGCCTTATGTTTAATATTTCAGAGTAAAACCTGTGCATATACTATTAAGTGCAGTTGTACAAATATATGTTAAAGAAACCCAAGAATAGGGAAGTGGTGTGAAGGCATCAAAGAAATGTTGATAACATGCCTTGGTCCCTCATGGGACCTCATGGTCCCAGGAACCAGGAAAGGCATTCTTAAGCAGAAATAAAGTCAGGAAATAGCCAAGGTGTTGCAGGCTTGCAGGGGAATAGACTGCAGAGCAGGGAGTTCAGGTGGCTTCTGTTATTTAGAAGTGGTGGGGGAGAACATTAGGGGAAAGGAATAAGGAATGTTATTAAGAACCTTATTCTAATTGGGAAAGAGTGCCTAAGAACCTTGCCTCAATGTAAAACTTAGTATCAAATATTTGTGTATTTTAAAACGTCTGGAGTGGTGCACTTCCACACTGTATCAGGTATAGGACTTGATCCAGAGGGGACATTCCCTTCCATCCTCAATTACACTGTTTCCACCTCATGAAAGATTGTAACAGACTGTATGAAAATGTGTTTGTACACCCAGTCATGATGAACCTGGCCACACAAACCTTGAAGGATACAAACTGCAGTGTTGCTTTAGGCTCAGGGTATCTCTAATACAGCAGTATAAAGGGAGATGTGAAGTACTGTCCCACTGGGAGCTGTGTAACAGTTAAATGTTCAAGCCTTAAGAAATGCGAACCTCATGAGGTTTAACCATGCCAAGTGCGAGGTCCTACACCTGGGTTGGAGCAATCCCAGGCACAGCTACAGGTTGGGCAAAGAAGAGATTCAGAGCAGCCCTGTGGAAAATGACTTGGGGGTGTTGGTCGATGAGAAAATGAACATGAGCTGGCTTCAGTGTGCACTCGCTGCCCAGAAAGCCAACCGTATCCTGGGCACCATCAAAAGCAGCGTGACCAGCAGGTCGAAGGAGGTGATCCTGCCCTTCTGCTCTGCTCTTGTGAGACCTCACCTGGAGCATTGTGTGCAGTTCTGGTGTCCTCAACATAAAAAGGACATGGAACTGTTGGAACAAGCTCAGAGGAGGCCAGGAGGATGATCAGGGACTGGAGCACCTCCTGTATGAAGACAGGCTGAGAAAGTTGGGGCTGTTCAGCCTGGAGAAGAGAAGGCTGCGTGGAGACCTCATAGCACCCTTCCAGTATCTGAAGGGGGCCTATAGGGATGCTGGGGAGGGACTCTTCATTAGGGACTGCAGTGACAGGACAAGGGGTAACGGGTTAAAACTTAAACAGGGGAAGTTTAGATTGGATATAAGGAGGAAATTCTTTCCTGTTAGGGTGGTGAGACTCTGGAATGGGTTGCCCAGGGAGGCTGTGAATGCTCCATCCCTGGCAGTGTTCAAGACCAGGTTGGACGAGGCCTTGGGTGATATGGTTTAGTGGGTGGTGTCCCTGCTCATGGCAGAGAGGTTGGAACTTCATGATCTTAAGGTCCTTTCCAACCCTAACTATTCTATGAAATGCACTTTGAACAGATACCAGTATGAAGTAGATGGCCATGAATTGTAAAATACAAATGTGGTAGATACAACTGTGTTTGCTTGTAATGTTATACATACTGTTCTAATGCATATATCTTTTAATTAGATTAGTACCCTGGGATTCACTATTGGAGATAAAGTAAATGGTCCGTTCCAGTTGGAAATTGATTTTATTGGCCTGCTGAACGATAGAGCTCATACAGAAGAATTTGCCTATGAAACATATGAAAAGAATCCTCCACTCTAAGCTGGGCAGGTGGCTTTTGGGACATCCTTCAGCTGCTTTAGTTCTAGAAAACATTTCTGAAGGTGTGGCTTATCACAGCTTGAAGATTCTAAGTAAACGTTACAGTGACACTGTTGGTGTCTTCAAGCTGCCAGACGCAGGATCCTGGAGAGACTGTACATACATGGACTGGAATACGGCCTGAGGAGAGTGTGACCCAGTAGGAACTGGTGACTGCGTAAGTTCTAGCTTTTGTCCTGACCTTAACAGAAATAAAAGTATTTCACAAGCTTCTTGTAGTTTTTAGTTTTTTCTTTCACAATTTCATTTTCTACGTTCTGTGGTTTGCAGACATTGTGAAACACTTGTATACACTAGTTTTAAATTGGAAAAAATATAAGGAGAATTAATACCCTCATGGACGGTGCTTAAGTGTGGGACTCAGTGCTGAAACATACAGAGAGCAGCCCCAAAAGTGGAAGAGGCAGAAGTATTTTAACCTTCAGCTTTGGCTTCTCTGAAGTACTAAAAAAAGAAAAAGCTGCCCCTGCCAAGATTGAAGCAGTAGCTGTGCAGCAGGCTTGCCTTCTGATTTAAAGCTGGTGATGATAATCCTACAGCTTGCCAGAGCTGAAGTTGCTGAACAGAAGTAGTGCTCCATGGAGGGGGTGGGGGAAGCCCCCATCCCTGTTGTCTCCTCAGGGAGCTGTAGGTTGTCTTTCTAAGAGTCTCTATATGCCTGATGTGAGCAATTAACTTAACATGCCTGTACTGGGAGAAGTTAAAGTGGCAGCTGGTGGCACAGAGGTTCTGTGTCTCTGAGAAGTCTGGTTTTGGGTGACCTGGCAAACACTTCAAAGAACAAGTGTGAATTGTTCCACTTCACTCATCATAAATTTGTCTAATCAAAGCACTGACCTCTGCTGCAGTGACCTTAAGTATACTTGACAAATATTAAACATACTTATATTTTATATGGAAGAGGCCACCACAAAGGCAAACTGAAGCAGTGTCTTGTACTATCATTTTCCCCTTGCATAGAAGCATAAGAGGAGTGATAGTTGTCATTTCTAAAGCTACCAGGACAAACAAAATGCTTTATGAAAGCACTTTGTGATTTCATAAAGTCATAGGCAGGCTCATTGGTGAGGAAAACTTGTCACAAAAAGAGGTTGAGTAGTAAAAAAGTGTGAAAAAGACTAGTGCTACACTAAGGGGGTAGTTACACGTAGTACATTAGATGATAGAATCAGTGATAAAAAACAGAATATGTACAAAACATTTATTTTCCAGATGAATTTTTTAAAAAACAAAAAACTGCTTGTTCTTGACATTTCAGTATATATTCAATAGGACACTAAATTCACCGTGAATTATTGGTACAGAAGTGTAGCTGAGATTAAAGCTGCTGAAGTACCTTTCCAGTTCCATCATAAATCCAGACAGCTCTATGCATTTTTTTAAAGGTAAAAATAACAGCTTTTAAATCTAACACATTGAATGTGCCCCAGTACTACTGTAACCTCTTTTAAGCATCAGAGAGATGAAAAGCAGAAGAATTCTGTTAACAGCTGCTATTTAGCACAGAAAGGAACAAAACAACATCAACTGTTCAAAGTATCCCACTGGTCATTTGTAAAGCCCCCTTTCAGTTGTGACTTTAATACATTGTGTAACGATTATGCTGGAAACTTTCAGTTTTCCAGAGAAGTTGTATGTTTTAGCTCTTAGAAATTCCCTACTACCTCATAGGCAATGAGAAACACTGAATAATTGCTGTCACAGGATTGGAGGATTGATTTGGAGAAAGGGGCAGTTGAATTAATTGTAGTTTGCCAATGGAAGACTTTGACGCCTGCTATCCAAAGCATGCATCTAGCAGTAACAAATGCATTCAGGTGAAGTCTGGCTAAGTTGCAAGGAGACTTCCTGAGCATCTTTTTTCCCCCCACTTACATTTTCTCCTTTAACATGTTTTGGTTAAAGGAAAACATGAGGCAACTAGAGATAGTTCTAAGCTCCTTAAAGTTTAGAACTCTCATCTCATTGGAGAAGTTGATCACGGAAACATTACGCTCAGATGCACTTTGAAGTCTTATTCCATGCTTTCTGGATCCTACTAGCTAATAGCAAGCTGAACTACACACACAGCACAGATATTTACATGACCGGACTACTATTTACAGTAATACCTTAGATATTTCTTATTCCTCCTAACCCAGAGATATTCCTCTGCGGTTTTCAAGAACCTTAGCCTTTTTCTTCTTTCTCTCTTGCTCATGTTTCTCCCGCCTTTCTTCCCTGAAGGGGAAAGAGACAGACCCCATGAAATTATGTTAAGGCAGACACACAAGTAAGCAAAGGAATCTGACCAAGGCCTAGCATCCATTTAACCAGCGTGCTGCATTTGCCAATAGCAGGCAGAGCAGTACTGGTTTGGACTGATTTCAGACATTGAAGCGAAGACTTTTGCTTAGATATACAGGTGTAACACTCAAGGTAACAGCATGTCAGTATTCACAGCTTCCTCCAAGGGGAAGGCAAAACTTCAAACCCTAGAGGCAGCAGCATTCATAGAACAAGAGTCTGTCAGATTCAGAGCTGCCCTCTTTGTTGGCCTCCCTGATAACAGACTACTGGAGGCAAAGATCACTTTAATACAAAAGCTTTCTCTGCATATTTAAATTCTAAAAAGACAAAGGAGTCATCATATTATTTTAATTAACAATATTCATAGAAAGCCAGTGGTGTACTAACCTTGTCTGAAGATGAGGCTGTTTGTAGTCTTTCTTACATGAAGAGATGTTGCTGCCAGGCTTATTTGGAACAGTATTTTCTTTAGATTCTCCCCAAGGTTTTAGTCGTCCTACAAGTTCAGGAAAAAAAAAAAGATACTATTGAATCACTAGTTTTATAGTTGTGTGCTTAACTTCTTGTTGTGAGTTTTATACTGGCTAGAGTGCTTTTTGCTGGTCAACTCTAAGATGAAATGCCTCTTCAGCTGTACTATCAGTTTCACCTGCTCATTCCATACAAGTAGTTTTCCTGTAAGTAGTAGCAGGTATCTGTACTTAAAAGCAACACTCAGCACACAAAGTTAAGCTTCTCACACAACAGTATGCTTTAATAAACTAAACTAAAAATAACCTTAATTGTGTGAGGAATATGTTTTCTGTACACACAATGGAATACAAGGAAGTTTATTCTTATGGGCTTTTGGTCATAAAGGTTTCTCCTTCAGCAGGGAGCCTCTTAAAGCATATGTTATGTAGAAATCTAATGTTAGTCCACAGGCTATGTGGGAACCCAGAGAGAAAGGGAAAAGGATGGGGAAAAGAGACTGAAAACTTCATTGTCATGGTTTGTGTGAATGCCTTTTAAGCAGCTGAGTAGAAGGGATGTGACCAACACAAACTGCAAAGGATCATAGTACCTTTATGTGGCTGATACCGAAGTGGCCTCGAGAGACTTGCTTTGAGATCAAACGTCTTCTTGGCGCTTGTGGGTTCTGCAGGGTGAGCTGAGAACTTGAAGGGGGTGAGAGCTGCAAAAGGCATCAAGATAATACCATACTTCATTACAGTAGCAAGATCATCACTGACAGCAAGTCAGAAAGAATGTGTGAAGACCACCTTATAAGTATTAAGACCAAAGAGCCACTAAATGATACCATCTGCTACCTCTAACCACAGAGTTGCACAAATACAGCTCACTTGAAATGGCAGCTTTCAGGTCTGGAGAGAGGAAGAGCCATAGAGTATTGGCCCTTTTGCTCCGATTGTGCTGTACAACAGAAGCATAGAATGGTTTGAGTTGGAAAGGGCCTTAAGATTATCTCATTCCAACCCCCTGCACATATACCTCCACATAATTTTCTAGTCTTTCAGAACAAATTGTGTTTGCCACCCTCTGTGCCTATTTGGAACCAAGTGGTTTTCTCCATTAAACCAAGAAGTGTTCTAGAACACACCAGCTTCATCAGCAGTGGGAGTTTTCTTTCCCCCTAAAAAAGATCAGCATTGTCATACTGCAAGACAGGCAACTCTGGGTTCTTGACCCGTGCCAGTGTACCTGTGATACCTCAGTGGTTAGGTAGCAAACCTGTGCTAGTGCAGAAATCAGTAACAATTAAACATCTGCTTTTTCTCACAGAGCTTTAGTTCCCGAGTTACTCAGGGTTGGTAAAGCTGATAATAATAGGTTGTCTTAAAACACAGCTAGAAGCCTGGTACATATCAAACCCACAGGGAGACCAAGACCTCTGAAAGGCATCAGGGGCTCCTCTCACCACACACAGGATCTCCCTGTGCATGTTAAACAAACTTTAGCTACATAGCTCCTAAAGTCCCTGTAAGATTATTTTTATCCCCTTTTCTGTAGGTAGCTAGTACCATATGTTTAAGTCTTAGCACCTAACTTGCTTAGTAAAGAAAGTAAGCAAGTTTCTAGAGAATCAGTCATAAATGAGGAATTAAATTAAACCCTAGGTCTATATGACATTAGATTATAAAAATAAAAAAAATAATTCAGTAAGAGAAAACTCTTGACCTGAAAGAGCCAAATACTCACCCTCACCTTTACCCTTTGCTGCAGTCGAATCGTTATTTCTTGCATTTCCTACACTGGTTTTCTGTCTTGCTGGTTTGTGGCTCTCAGGTGTGCACATCTGCAGGTATGGAGACATTCTAGATGGAGTCTTGGTAAGGGAGCGTTTGTGCTCATTATCTTTTGTGGCTTCTGAGAACCTGGAAGTTATTAGTAAAGACAAAGTTAGTAATCTACAAGGAATAGAAGCAACATGACAGAACACAGAAGGTTCTGTGTTCTATTTTTCTTACAGGTAGAAAGTATAAAAGATATCCACAGCTTCTGCATAAACCACATTAAAAACTTCAGTGGCAATTTTCAAGTTAGGAGCTATCATTAATATCAGGAAGTAATATTAGGAATTCAGATATAAGAGATGATTAGCTTGCTTGACAAGAGAGAAAACATTAAGAAAAATAATTAGGCTTGGTTGGTTTAGGAAACTGAAAGCTGAAAGAGATGCAAGATTCCTCTGCCAGAAGTCAAAATGAAGAAACATGGTTGTAACAGCACAGTAAGGCTGGTTTAAGCTGGTTAAAGCTGGGCTGAACATTAGTAACCAGAATTAGTCTCATGTAGGTAACGCTTGGAATAGAAGTAATGAAGTGAAATCACAGCATTGATTATTTCATGCTTATCACACCAAATAGCTCACTGGTGGGTTCGGTTTGTTCTTTTTACCTGACGTTCATTTTGGTTGTTGAAAG